CTCAGCAAAATGGGAATAAATGGGGCATTCCTCAATGTAATAAAGGCCATATATGAAAAACCTACAGCCAACATCATACTCAAAGGGCAAAAACTAAAAGTTTTCCCACTAAGATTGAGAACACGACAAGGATGTCCACTTCCACCGCTTCTTTTCAACATGGTATTGGAAGTCCTAGCCACAGCGGTCAGACAAGACAAAGAAATAAAAGGCATCCAAATAGGAAAGAAGGAAGTAAAACTGTCATTGTTTGCAGATGATATGATAGTGTACATAGAAAACCCTGTAGACTCCACCAAAAAACTACTCAATCTAATAAGTGAATTTGGCAAAACAGCAGGATACAAAGTCAACATTCAGAAATCAAAGGCATTCTTGTATACCAGCAATGAAATAGAAGAAGAAGAAATCAGAAAACAAAATACCATTCGATATGGCAAGAAGAAAAATAAAGTACCTAGGAATAAATTTAACCAAGGAGGTAAAAGACCTGTATGCAGAAAACTATACAACATTGAAGAAAGAAATTAAGGAAGACACAAATAAATGGAAGCATATACCATGCTCATGGATTGGAAGAATTAATATCATCAAAATGTCCATACTACCCAAGCAATTTATAGATTCAACGCAATCCCTATTAAGATACCAATGACGTATTTCACAGAAATAGAACAGACATTTCAAAAATTTATATGGAACCATAAACAACCCCGAATAGCCGCAGCAATTTTGAGAAAGAAAACCAAAGTAGGAGGGATCACAATACTGGACATCAAACTATACTACAAAGCCACTATACTCAAAACGATCTGGTACTGGCACAAGAACAGACTCATAGACCAGTGGAACAGAATAGAAAGCCCAGAAATAAGCTCAGGTCTATATGGGCAACTAATATTTGACAAAGGGGGCAGAAGCATAAAATGGAGCAATAATAGCCTCTTCAACAAATGCTGTTGGGAGAGCTGGATGGCTACATGCAAAAAATTGAAATTGGATCATCAGCTGACACTATACACAAAAATAAACTCAAGATGGATAAAAGACTTAAATATAAGTCACAACACCATAAAAGTCCTAGAGGAGAGCATTGGCAGGAAACTCTCAGATATCCCACGCAGCAATTTTTTCACTGATATGTTTTCTAAAGCAAGGGACATAAAGGAAAGAATAAACAAGTGGGACCTCATCAAAATAAGAAGCTTCTGCATGGCTAAAGAAAACATCAGCAAAATGAAAAGGGAACCAACTGTATGGGAATATATATTTGCCAATGATACGTCAGATAGAGGTTTGGTCTCCAAAATATATAAAGAACTCACTTGACTCCACTCCTAGAAGACAAATGATCCAAACAAAAAATGGGCAAAGGACCTGGGCAGACGCTTTTCCAAGGAAGAGATACAGAGGGCCCAGAGACATTTGAAAGGATGCTCGGCATCACTAGCCATCAGAGAAATGCAGATCAAAACCACCATGAGGTGCCACCTCACACCGGTCAGAATGGCCATCCTAAACAGATCAACAAACAACAGGTGCTGGCGAGGCTGTGGAGAAAAGGGAACCCTAGCACACTGTTGGTAGGAATGCAGACTGGTGCAGCCACTGTGGAAAGCAATGTGGAATTTCCTCAAAAAGCTGAAAATGGAACTGCTTTTTGACCCAGTGATTCCCCTGCTGGGACTATATCCTAAGAATTCCAAAATGCCAATTCAAAAGAACCTATGCACCCCAATGTTCATAGCAGCACAATTTACAATAGCCAAGTGTTGGAAGCAACCTAAATGCCCATCAGCAGATGATTGGATCAAAAATTTATGATACATTTACACAATGGAATACTACGCAGCAGAAAGAAGAAGAGAACTACTACACTTCGTGACAGCATGGATGGAACTCGAGAGCATTACGCTAAGCGAAAGAAGCCAGGGGGCGAAAGGCAAATACCATATAATCTCACCTATAAGCGGAACCTAACCAACAAAACAAAGATGCAAGGAAAATAAGACCAGCAACAGTGAAAGGAAAAGAAACCAACAGAGACAAGAGGGAAGGAGGGAGGAGTTCGCGGGGGAAAAGGAAGGGAAGGGGCAAGTGAAGGAACGTATAGCAAGGACTCATGGACAAAACCAAAGTGGGTAAGGATTGAGGAAAGGAGGGGGGAAGGGAGAGGGGGCAAGGATAAGTGGTGGGGGAAGGCAGAGACAAATGTATTTGGAAAAATAAATGAATTAAAAAAAAGGATAAAGAAAGAAAAAAGAAAAAAAAAGAAAAATCTGCCACTGTCCCAAAGGCCAACCAATCTACCATATTTTAGTTTGTTTATTAGCAAACATTAGAGTGCCCTAGTGCTGTCTCTTGGACTACTGAGCACTACTAAAAATGAATGACAAAAAAATATGCATCAGGACCACCAAGTTTTCCTTCAGTACAAGCCACAGGACCACAAAAGCTCAGGCTAGAAGGAAGCTGGAGTTTACTTGATACAGGTTCTGTGCTAAGGATTGCTCATTAGAAGCAAGACTAGCAAGACTAATGAACTTCTCAAACTACCTTTGTGTTTTACATTTAATTTACAGAACAGAAGCATGACAATTGCTATTGAAATGGCAGCATAAGCATTGATATTCTATCCAATTTTATTTGTGGAGATAGTTAAATAATATTTTTAAAACAAACAACTAGGGAAATAAAATTTTCTAAAAATAAAATTCCAAATTTCAGTTTATGAAAAAGAAATGGAAAGAAAAATACACATAAAATTAAATGCAGCTAAAAATAGGAAGCTGCAAATTAATAATTGGAAAGTGCATCTAAATAAATATAAAATTGATCAATATATCTAATCATAATAAATTTCACTGCTTAATAATTTTTATTCAGACGCAAGAAACATAATGGAAATATTTTATAAAGCCATAGTCTAAAGCAAAATTTTATGAAAAGCAAATACTGCTTGAAAATCATATATGGGGGGGTTTAAGAATTGGAGGCTAAAGAGGATTTCATTACAAGTATTTCATCCATAAAGGCCCCCATGATATGGGGTCCCACATACTATGCCAAGAGTCCAATGTATTAGCAAAGACAGCATAATCAATATATGTGTTTTTTCTCTTTTTTGCAATCAATGGTTTTTCATTTTGTTAAATGTGAGCAACCTGAATTGTCTTTTACTCAGTATGAGAACTCATCACTATACTTTATTTCTTGGATTTGATTCAATTTGTTAAACACAGTATAACCTTTTTAAAATGCAATTGAGATGGGGCAGTATTAATGCTTATCTATAGGTTAGCTTTCTACATTTTTGGTCATGCTTTTATTTATGTAATTATTTATATCAAGGAATACCATTTGACCCATAGCCTGCCAAACCTGTGTACCAATGATTCATGATATTATAGTTATAAGCACACTTATAATTCGTAAGGAATTGGGATAATGTGGTAAAAAGAAAACATTTCCAATCAGATATATCTAACTGAATTTCAGTTCTGCAGACCCTTTCTGGCTGTGCAGTTTTGAGCAGTGATTTCCTCCCTAAATAATGGGATTAGGTACATCAGAGGGTGGTTTCGAGACAAAATGAAAGTATTAAGTGTTCAGCGCCTAGAACATGGCCTGTAATCTGCTAGAGGTGTCAAACATGTTAGTCCTCTGCTCTCTTTATATAATAACAGAAGGAAGAAAAATTGAGGTCTTTAGATAGAGAACCTGGACCAATAGATAGCCCCCAGAAAGCAAGAGCTATGTTGCTAAATTTGTGAAGGGCCAAAGAGGAAATATTGGAATCCTGAAAGTCACCATAAGGCAGAGATGAGATTTAACTACCTCTTAGCCTGCCTAATACTTACATCCACAAAAGAAGCCTTGGACATTCTATTCTGGCTGTAATCTCAACAGTTTCCTCTGGGTAGTAGTGGTTTGTTTCTAGTTTTAAAGATGGAGGCTTAAATAAGGAGCCAAAGCATCAGGCTCCTAGGCCTGGGGTATGCCATCTGCCTAGCATTAAGCAAGAACTGGAAGTCAGTTACAGAAGCACAGTCATTTCTAACATGATATACACTCCATCCTTGAATGTGGCAGGAAAACTGCAAAAGATATTTGGAAGCCAATGCTTCCTCTGAATAAAGTAAACGAGTATAAGCTAAGCCCCTCTCCCTGGACCATGCTTGCCCGTTAGATAAGTTGCCAATGTGGAGTCTGTGAACCCTGGAGCAAAGTGGCTATTGGGGATGAGAAAATAGCTCAAGGCCAATGATCATCGCTACCATAAATATACAGTGCACAGTACAAACACTGAGGTCAGACAGCAGATATCCAGGATATTACTCAAAAACACATCTAGCTCAAAGCTGACAAGATAATCTGTTCCTGTGGGTGCAAAGCAGACTGGAATGCTGCCGCTATGACCTACTCAAGGAAAAAAAAAAGAAAGAAAGAAAGAAAGAAAGAAAGTGCAACTCCTCACGGGCTACGTCCAGTGCTCTCCATGCAGGCAAAACTCCAGTGGACTTCAAAGGGAGTACTGCCTAAGGGAGAGTGCTGGACCAAGCCCATGGGGGGTATCATTTTCGAGATCATGTTGCCATCTGCCTTTAGTAGACTGGGAAATGCAAATACTTCAGATACAAGTTTAAACAGATGAAAAAAGAAGTGCGAAAGAGCTTGGAGATTTGCTTGCAAAAAAACCCCTCAGACTTCCAGGAAAAGCATTTAACATCAGGAACTTCATAAGTTATTTCAACAGTCCCAAGAGAGTAATTGGTTGGTGATGATGTTAATAAAAGTTTTTTTTAGTTGACACATATTGCACTCTAACATACCACATGATCACAAAATCATGTACTTTATAAATAATTTCCCAAAGTCAAGTACTCTTGAAAGGTCAGTAACATTTTTCTCATTGAAATATAGACTGAGGCTTTAATCAAGTTTTAACATACGTGATCCTGATTAATGCAGAGGAGCCAAAATGCAGCAAAGGTACTTACAGGAGGACCTAGGTGGTGAGGGGTGGGTGAAGAAGGTAAGAAAAAGGGAGAGACAAATTAGTGTATATGCAAAACATTAAGATTAAATAAAATATTAAAGCATCATCATAATCATCAGTATAATACAAGGGACATAGAAGTCAGTGATTCTTAATCTTTTTTTAGAGCATGAACCATTTGACACTATGTCAGAAAAATATATTTACATCTATGTGCATACAAAATTTATCATAAAATTTCAAAGAATGTTCAGATTCCCTGAGGCCTGTTTATAAATTACTGAGATATTTATCTATTTTAAACAAAGACTGTTTAATTTATATACCTAAAAAGATAAAATGTGAATCATAATTGATAACTGATCTGTAAACTTTCTAAATTGGAAATAAACTCATTATTTATTCTAAGAATGTTTTTCATTCAATAGCATTGTCAACACATGGAAGAATAAGCCCTGATGTTTACATAAGTATCTTTAAAACTATGTATTCTCATCAAAACACCAGGAAATTCTAAGAAAATTTCAACAGTTCATATGCCATATGTTCGATTAAAACATCAATTCTAAGTAGCCAGAAAGTTGGGAATTAATTTTTGTATTTTCTAAAAGTCTCTGAATAAGCAAAAAATTTTTGCTTTTTTTCTCCTCAACCCTCTTTATTTTGACACAAAAATCAATTCAATGATTATTTGATCCCATCAATGTTTTGTCATTTATTTTTCCTTAAAACAAATTTATAAAGCATCCCCCATTATGAAACTGCACTTTGTGAAGGGAATACCTACACACATTTCCAATCATTTAGATTCAATGAGGTTTAAAGACAACTTTTGAGAATACTCTTAAAGTAATTAAGCAGCTACACTACCCAAATTCTTGAATTTTCATAAACCCTTTCTACTTTGACATCTTTTTTTCAAATAGAAGAGGAAATGAGTCAAATAAAATCAATCTGCTTTTTGCACTTTTTGATAGATTAGTATGTCTACTGTTTCAATGCTTAGTAATTCATTGTTTTTAATACTAAGAAATACTTACTGAAAATAACATTTATCATGCACCAGAATCACACCTGAAATTACCTTTCTATTACTTGCAAGTAAGAAACAATGGCCTCACATAGTCATTTACATTTCTGGAGTCTTAGACTTTTATAAACAAGTAAAACAGTAAGTGAACTCAATCAACTTGTGTATCTTGGTTTCAAAAAAACAAAAGTTTTTATTTGGCTCTTCTGTTTCACTTTGCATATAGGGATTTGGCCTGAAAGCAAAAACTCACTGAAGTAGGCATTAGGACAGCTGGTTGTGTTTCAAGTCCTGCTCACAAAAATCACATGGCCCTGGCCAAATCACCTGACTGCTCTGGGCCTCCATTTCCATAAATACAAAATGAAAATACTGGGTTGATTTCTAAGGCTCCTGTCATCACTAAAATTCTATGGATATACAAGAGGAATAAAAATCCTCAAATGTTGAAATGAATCAGAGTAAAGCATGACAAAATTGTACCAGTTGGATAAAATAATAATAAAGCTTTCTTAGACATGTGCCCTGGTGTCCCAAGGCAGATGTTTTCACAGAGAACCTGCGTTTGTGGATCGACCACCTATGAAGATGGAGGCATGGGTGATGTCGCCACACTGTGTGCTGCTAAGAAACCCTCACTATACACTGAAAGAAAGGACTTGATGCAATAAAGAAGCCAAAACTGAGTTACTAATATTTTGCTAACTTCTCCTTTGATGGAAATAAGATAAAAATATGCTGGGTCTAGCAGAGATTTAAACACATACACACATGCATGCCCACCCACATACACATGCACAACCTCCAACAAGACAATGTAATCACTAATTAGGAGGAACAGATGCAGGAACCTAAGCAGATCATGAGTGACACAGAGCAGCTGAAAGGGAGACTTACCAGATTCTCCTCTTCGTCCCCTCTTACCACGTTTCCCTGGAGGGCCTGAAATACAAAGATTGATTTTTTTTAAAATATGTGGTTCCAAAATGACTAGTAAATAATTTCTATATATTTTATTACTGTTTTTAATTAAGAATCTCAAAAAAAAAAAAAAAGGAACCAGATATTTGTAAAAGCCAGCACTGTCTTTGGTATTTCAACATAACTCTTCAGCTTCATTTAGCTATAAAAGTTGCACAAGATCTCTCACCATCCAGTGTTACTTAGGAACACTAAAAATTTGAAATTTGTGTTCACCCTGCCCAAATGTCATTAATAAAGAAAGACTTTGCTGAGCAAACTAGTGGTATTGAGTTCATGTTTCTTAGGAAAATTTCTCTTCTGAAGGTTTCTGTATAATTAATAATTGAAAGTACTGAGTACAAATGATTGGTTTCTCTTCAGTAAATTTCATCATGATTCTCTTGAAAATATTTTGTTGGCAGTTAGTTAAATGCATATATTAGTAATGAAAATAACCTGACAAATATTTCTATTTTATTACATGTGTATTTTGATATATTAGTATTTCTCTATAAAATCACAACCTTTTTAATTGGAAAGTGTTTCGTTAGTAATTGTCGGTCTCATTTTACTAAGGGGGTAGCTCATTATTCTATTCAATAAATATTTAGTCTTTATAATGATCCCATTTTAAAAGTAGAGAAACACTTTTTTTTTTCAGTGAGTTGCCTGTGAAGACCACCAAGCTAGTATGTAGCAGACTTAGCACAAGAGTCTAGACATTCATGGCTTTCAAACCATTTTTCTCAATTATATAATTTCTCCTCTCATTTCCTTGGGTAGGACTAGTTCCCATTGAATTATGGTTCCAGCAAATAAAAGAGAGTAATTAGCCCACAATGAGAATTGAGGTCTTGTAATATTTGCTGGAAGAAAGAGGCCAAGGAAAATAACAGGACTCCCTGATTTTAAAGAATGAGCTGCTAAGCTGGACTGATGACTTCCAAGTTCTACAAAGTTGAAGATACAGGCAGCACAGGCCTTAGCATCCAGCAGACTCTGAATGGGATCCTGAGCTACTGACTTCCACATGGAAACACTATCATGAGAAATAAAAACATCAGTAGGCCAGTTACTTTCCTCTCAAGCCTGTACACACAATAAGTCTGGCCAACTGTGTTTTGTAAGAGGTTTAAAAACAATCAAGCAATAAAATCAATTGACAATATTAGGAGAAGCAGCTTTGTAGGAGAGTCCAAAATTGTCTGTATTCTGAAAGAAAAAGAGGTTTTAATCACATTTAGGACATTCTTGGCCATAATAGAAGCAGAAGGAATATCATGTGAACAGGTAAATAAACCCAATGAGACCCTAATGAGTGTAAAAAATATACATCTGTACACACTTAAGCACACATATACACAAATACATACAGGGGTGGGCAAAAGGAGGTTTATAGTTGTTCATATAAAAAAAGACATGCAGGTTACGATTTATTACAATAGCTTTATAAACTGTGTTTTGTGTACTCACAACTGTAAACATTTGCAAACTCCTTTATTGACACATTCTGATGTGTAAAATGTCTTTAAGATTAAAGATCAGATTTTTTCTATTACAAAATCATTTAAACTAAGGAAATTTTAGCAACTATGATATACTGATGATGTCTGTGATCTGCATAGTAGGAGTTACAAGTGATGGGTAAGATATGTATCTGCCCTGAAGAAGCAAAAAAGTTGAAAAGATTAAAATATACACATGAAAAATTCATTAGTAGCATGTTGTGAAGATGGCACAATGAGTTTATGCTCTGATTTGTTCCTTCTACTCCAAACACAGGGTCAATTATAAAAAGAAAAAGACATTTTAGAAGTATTTGTATTAAAAAAAAAGGACATGCCTATAGGCAAGAAGTGGACCAGAAATGCAAAATTGAGAACAGGGATAAAACCATGAGCCTGCTGGGTTCTAGAAGTAGGCATGGTGGCCATGGCTTCTACTCCTGAAGAATAAGTGCTCCAAAATTCTCTAACCAGAGCGAGACTCATCTACCTACTTATCTATCTATCTACCTACCTACCTACCTACCTATTATTTTTATTCCTCACTGGAGGTCTGTTCACAGAGCTTTAGAAATAAAGGAAGGAAGTGGGAGGAGAGAGGGAGAGAGAAACAGAGAGAGAGAAATATCAGTGTGAGAAACATCACTTGGCTGCCTCCCATATGTGCCCTGACCAGGGATTGAACCCACAGCCTTTTGGTGCATGGGATGACGCTCAACTAGCTGAGCCACCCAGCCAAGGCCAGACTCACTTCTTAAAGCTGGGGGCATGGAAATGCTAAAGAGATGTTGCAAAAAATCTAGGTGTATGGCTTACAGGTTGAGGAATACAGATACAATCTCTCAATCAGAAAATAAAATAAGCATCTGCTGATTTGATGCCTAATTCTATAATATCCCCAACATAAATCTGGGGCAGGAGCCCTAAACAGTCATTTTAACATAAGTCCAGTCTAGCAGGCTTGGTGGTTGGGTAAAGACAAACATAAAATGGTTACATAAGAAAGGGTAAACACAGAGGAAAGAAAGGCAAACACACAGAAAAAATTACACACATATACACACACACACACACAACACACACACACCCTCTCTTATTCATAATTAATATACAAACCAAAATTCCAAAAATAAAGAACACATGACTTGGGGGTGTGAACACACAATACAATATATAGATGATGTATTACAGAATTGTAAACCTCAAACCTGTATAATTTTATTAACCAATGACCCCAATAAATTAAATTAAAAATAATAAAACATATGAAGAAATCTAATGCTAAGAAAGACAGTACTCAATAATAAGATTGTAAATTTTTTCCAAGTAAAATTAATTAATTTTTAAAAAGCATCAAAGACCAGTATGTTAATTAAGCTTTAAGGGCTAAATGAAAAATTAGCATCGATTAAAGGGATTTTAAATAAAAATGAGAGAAAAAGAAAAAGTGGATTTGAAAGAGAACCCTTTAGAAATCTGAAAACTAAAAATATAGTCATCAAACTTTTAAAAAAAGATAAATCAGTTATGTGCTAGCCTGGATATGGTTGAAGAAAGGACTGATATGGAAGATGCAGAATGCAGCCCAAAGAGATAGATCCAATGTTTCTCTCTCTGTCTCTCTCTCTCTTTCTCTCTCTCTCTTATCTATCTATGTACTATAGTCTGAATATTTGTATACCCACAAAATTCACATGTTAAAATTCTAACCCCCAAAGATGACAGTATTAGGAGGTGGGGTTTCCAGAGGTGCTTAAGTCATGAGGCTGGAGCTCTTATGAATAGGATTGGTGCCTTTTTTTTGTTTATTTTTTAAAATATATTTTATTGATTATACTATTGCAGTTGTCTCAATTTTTCCCCTCTGCCTCCCTCCATCCAGTACCCCCATTCCCTCCAGCAACCCCTCCTTTAGTTCATGTCCATGGGTCATGGATATAACTTCTCTGTAAGTTCTCTGGCTACTCCATTTTCTATACTGTTCTTAACATCCCCTGTCTCTTCTGTACCTACCAGTTTGTGCTTCTTAATCTCTGTACTTTTACCCCCATTTTCTTTCTTCCTCTCCCAACTGATAACCCTCCAAATAATCTCCATATCTATGATTCTGTTCCTGCTCTGCTTGTTTGCTCTATTTGTTAATTGTATTCAATTATTGTTAGTTGTGAATTTATTGCCATTTTAATGTTCATCATATTGATCTTTTTCTTATATAATTCCCTTTATCATTTCATATAATAATGGTTCAGTGATAATGAACTCCTTTAGTTTTACCTTGTCTGGGAAGCACTTTATCTGCCCTTTAATTCTAAATAATAGCTTTGCTGGATGGAGTAATCTAGGCTGTAGGTACTTGCTTGCCAGCCCCTTCCTGCCTGCAAAGTTTCTTTTGAGAAGACACCCGACAGTCTTATGGGAACTCCTTTGTAGGTCATTTATTTTGACTTGCCACCTAAAGTATAAATTTAATATCAGGGATCCTATATTCAGTTCTGGAAAATTCTCAACTATTATATCTTTAAAAACACTTTTCTATCATTTCTTTTAGATTCTTTTATCGGGCTGCTATAACAAAATGCTGGCCAATTATGAACCAGAGAGAGGGCCCTCAGCAGAAGGCAACCGTCATGGCTCCTTGATCTTAGACTTTCCAGCCTCCAGAACAGAAAGAAACAAATTTCTGTTGTTTATAAGCCACTCAGTATTTTGTTATAGCAGCCCAAATAGACTAAGACACTATCCATGTATCTATACATTTTTAAAAACAAAATTGTACTCATATCAATAAAAGAATCCAAAATAAATGATAGAAGAGCCTTTTTAAAGATAAAATAGATGAGAATTTTCCAGAATTGAATATAGTATCCCTGAGATTGAATTTATAATTTAAGTGTCAAGTCAAAATAAATCACAATTAAGTACATGGAACAAGAAACTTAGGAATATTGAAGGATAAAGATAAAGCGTTAGGAACTACCAGAGGCAAAATTACAGTGGAAAATACTTCGACCACTGCCTCACCCATAATAAGATGCCAAGGGGCCCTTGATTTTTATGACAAGTCTTAGAACCTATAATTATATTTGTTTACTGGAATTAGCTTGTCACATTCCCCTGAAGAATATTCCTTTTTAATAGTAAAATTTATTAAGTAAAAGCAATAGATTACATAAAGATTTTTAAAATAGTTTGAAATAAACTTTTAAAAATTATATTTACAGGAAATCAGTGTATAAAGAAATCAATAAAGGAATGATTTTTTTAAAGAAATCAAGACACAAAGATAGAACATGTCTGCCTCAAATATTCAATCAGAAGGCTTAGAGAAATGAATCAAATGCTGTGGGAAACCTGCTTATTATATTAAGAACTGAGAAAAATAGAAACTAAGAAAAGTAAAAAGATATTTGGCAAGACAGATATCTATTAAATATGCCAAGGTCTTATATATAATATCTGAGAGAGAAAATGAAG